CAAAATCCGCCAACGTTGATTCTTTACTGCGGCTATATTCATTTTTAGAGCGTTAGTGAATTAAAAAAAAAGCAGTATAAACACCGGAATGTCCAACTGATAAGGCCGAAAATTTTTTCACTTGTTACTTACAGTAAGATAAATACATTCACCAACTTTTATTAAAATAAAACCATTTAAACCGGGTGTTCGGATTTATATGTCACTTAGTATATTTGTGAAATAACGTATGGTCTCCTCTAGGAGACCTTGAGAATTGGAGGGCTGACACTGTTTTTTTTTTGTTTAAAAGAATTAGAATAAGCAGTGGGTCCATCCATCTAAAAAGTGCAACTTTTGGGTGTTCAATAACCGTTTGTACCATGTGCAATATGCCAATATATCATCTATACATAATTGGACCATCCTACCACTATAGATATCATAATGATACAAAATTGGTTGTAGACTCATATGTTCTAAAACATCAGGCTATGCAAAAGATCGCAAAGTTGTTAGCGAAAAAATAATCAGTGATCGGCACGGGTATCACGTATCTTGAAAAGTGACACTATGCCGATTTTTTTTTGACATTATGCTGTTTTTTTTTGACATTATGAAGGGTTTTCTAGAAGATGTGTCGAATGACAAGCTATATACATGCTAACAGTAATTACACACGACGCGAGGGCGGTGATGATTTCCCGTAATTGTGACGTTGAAAACTATAGGCCAATCGCGCTATTAAGTATTTTCTCGAAAATCATTGAAAAAGTGGTTGCAATGAAAATTGAAAATTACTTTCTTAAATTTGCTATTATCACATATGCTCAACATGGTTTCAGGGCAGGCTACTCAAGTGAAATAAGCATTATCGAGTATGTTCGGTATGTTTGTGATAAACTTGATTTAGGTAATTACGTAGTGAGTATCCAATTTGACTTGTCTCAGGCCTTTGATTGTGTAAGTTCGTCATTTGTGGCCGATAAACTTCATCGTGTTGGCATTCGCGGATGTTTGAATCAATGGCTAGTTAGCTTTTTAGAGAATAGAAAATTTTATGTTATTGTCGCTGATAAAAAATCTGATGGATTCAATTTAGATTGGGGCACACCTCAAGGCAGCGTCCTTGGACCACTTATTTTCTCGATTTTCATAAATGATTTGCCTGCACACTTATCCTACGGAAAATAACTTTTGTATGCAGACGACACAAATATCATTTTAGCTGAATCATCGCAAGATCGTCTTCAAGAAAAAATTAATGATTCGGTTAATGAGTTCAGTCGATGGTGCTTCACTAATAATAAATACAAAAAAGAGCGTTTCAGTTGAATATTTTATGAAACCAAAACTTCCGTCCAATTTTAATTTCAGTCTTCAATGCAAGTCAGTTGTAACTTCCAAAAAAACTGCTTTTTTAGGTGTAAGCTTTGATTGCAGTTTAAGATGGACAGAGCAAATTGATTCCGTATGTAAGAAACTTGGAAAAAGTCTGTATTTAATACTTACGCTAGGGAGGATGTTAAACACCTCAGCATTAATGGATGTCTACTATGCATGTCTACACTCTGTCATTTCATATGGATTTACTGCGTGGGGCTAGGCTAGTGAAGTCTCTACAGTGTTTGTCTTACAAAAAAGAATCATTCGCATTATATTTAAAATACGGTCCAGATCTTCCTGGCGTGAGATATTTGTTAAACACAAAATACTTACAGTAGCATGTATATATCTTTATAATCTTTTAACATATATTTTTCAGCACAGAAATGATTATCTTAAGCATACTGACATCCATGACTACAGCACTCGTAATAAAAATAATATAGTCAGGCATGTGTCATATCATACGTTTCATTCAAAATCTCCCATAACAGCAGGAATATACTTTTTTAATTTATTACCTCCGGAGATCAAAAACGTAAACTACGTGTGGCTTTTCAAAAGACGTTTGCGGTACAAGCTATCGGACTGCGGTTTTTATGACCTAGGTGAATTTGTCACATTCCACAGTACTTTTGATAGATCAAATAATTTATTGCCATGTGTGTATCATATGGTTTTTTATGTTCTTATTGTTATTTGTATTTTACTTCCTTTTACCTATATTTTAATCTGTATACACCGACTTATCCAATGTCTACAATGTAGATCTAACTGGATCAATAAATGAATCTGAATCTGAATCTAATTCTCATCAGTTTTTCGTTATTTATAACTTTGAACATAACTTCTCTTCAGGAAGCACAACATAAAAATAACCCGTCGGGCACAGCTAACAGATATACTTCATTGGCAGCATAACTTTCGTCTCAGAGATAAAAACTGCAGACAAGAACCATTTGGCCTCACAGAACATATGCAACCAATGATGCGTGTAGTTTAGTTGAGTGATTCCTCCATAGATGGACGTTCACAACATGACATCTCATAGGTTTTTTATGACGTTTTAAAGGTTTTTTACATGATACCCGTGCGGATCCAATTTATCGGGAGAACAAACAGGTTTTGACACATATTGTAGACATGCAAAAGTTTTTGAGAATGTTATTCAATTTAAGCTTTGTTAAAGTTTAAACCTTTAGAATGCTATATTTTTATTTTTACAACTTTGAAAATGACCTTTAAGAACCTTACAATGTCACTAAGCCCTAAATGAAGTTTGGGAATCTGCTTTTTGGTGCCTCTAGCCTATCTCGGCGAAAAAACCGACGTCATATACTTTTTGACGTATCCAAGTTGCACAAAATTGGTCCCTACAGTTTACCTCTGAATGGATTTGGAGATATACAAGTATTTTTGAAAAAGTGAGCACTCGACTTCGATAGAAGCTGGGGTAATTTGATACGCTGAAACTCAGTGTAAAGCAGCTCAAGTTCCAGCATATGCTGCATTCCCATTTCACGTTTTTTCGACGCCCTCAATGGCCAAGCTGTGAAAAAAGGAGTCTCCGGGGAGTTCGGAAGTTGGCGTCCGGAGGTCGGTCGCGCAAACGGAACAGGGGTTTTCGACAAACAACCGCGCAATAAAAGCCGTCCGCTATGCGATTATCTTTCAACAAATCATTCAGAAAATTATTTCATACACCTCAAAAGTTCATATTGGAAACGCCTTACCGTCAAGGCTTCAATTCTGAGAGGTGTGGCCACAGAATATGCGTACGATTTTCAGTTTCCTCTCAGTTCGTAAAAAAGTTTTATTGTGGACTTCCAACCCGTCGATCGCGAGCTACCGGTGGCTCGCGAAGGCAATTCTGGTGGCTCACAATATATTTTAAAACGGTGTAAAAATCATAGAAGTGTCCGTAAATTTTGTAAATTCTAATAATATACACAAGCAGCGACAAAACTGCGGTGAGCGATCTGTTCGAGAGCGATCTCGATTACTTTGAACGCAATAAATACGCAAGGTGCGGCGACAGTTTAAGACTGAACGGCACAAAGTCCAGCAGTTGGGTTAGAGTTAGCCTGCAATTAGAAACATTATGAGCAGTAGTAAGAAGATGAAGACATAACATTTCTGTTCATAATGGGAAGAACAGAAAATACCGTACTGTCAGGCTTTCATTCTGAGAGGTACACTGCAAAACTGGCCACAGAATATGCGGACGATTTTCAGTTTCCTCTCAGTTCGTAAAAAAGTTTTATTTTGGACTTCCATAGTTTATACCAACCCGTCGATCGCGAGCTACCGGTGGCTCGCGAAGGCAATTCTGGTGGCTCACAACATATTTTAAAACGGTGTAAGAATCATAGAAGTGCCCGTAAATTTTGTAAATTCTCATAATAAACACAAGCAGCGACAAAACTGCGGTGAGCGATCTGTTCGAGAGCGATCTCGATTACTTAGAACGCAATAAATACGCAAGGTGCGGCGACAGTTTGAAACTGAACGGCACGAAGTCCAGCAGTTGGATTAGAGTTGGCCCGCAATTAAAAACATTATGAGCAGTAGTAAGAAGATGAAGACATAAAATTTCTATTCAGAACGGGAAGTACAATATTTCGTTACAGAAGTTAAAGCTAAGCATGTATGTTTGTTATGTGATACATCTGTTGCCGTTACTAATATCGAGTGGTACTATAAAACTGTACATTCGAATTTTGAAAAATCATTCGTTCTGCAACCAGAACGGAAAACCTGAAACAATTAAAAAATCAGTTAGATGGACACCAGACAATGTTTTTAAGAACAATCGACAAAGGTAAGGCTGCAACTGAAACATCATACCGGGTGTCCCAGATAATTACACAAAAGAAGAAGCGTTATGAAGACGGACGTTTTTAGCAGCTGCAGATTCGTTATTTGTAGACGAGATATAAAATCTATGCAACTTTCTGCTAATACAGTGATGAGACGAGAAGAAGTAATGAGCAATGATAGTCAAGAAATGACTTTGATAACTGTGCCTTTTTTCACTGCAGCTGAATGGATCCACAGATGTCGTTGACACCTCTTAGATGGCCGTGTTCGTCAGGATCTTTTGAAGTTTATTCCACTAAATGACAGACTACTGCGTCTTGATGGTGCTGATGGCTCCCATAAAGGTTTGACCCCTACGTTTATTATACACGTTTCTATTGCTAGATATCTAAGTTGCCAGTCAGCTTCTTTATGTATGATCTTGTTGTCTTGCCAGCTTATTTAGTGGTTTTCTGTCCATGCGTGTCTGCTATCCCTGATTTCTCCGTGTCGGCCCTAGACATTCAACATATCGGGAAAAAACTGGAAAAATTAGCAAAAAAACAGGTTTTTTCCGTTTTTTTTCCAGACCATGGGAAAAATTGGAAAAAATGTGAAAATTTAAATATTTTTTAATTGTGACTTGAAACGTAAAAAATAGGTACCAATTTTAAAGTTTTTTAAACATATTTTGTAAAAATAAATACGAAAAACATACTTTAATAATATCTATTAATACCTAAGATATAAATACATACATGTATATAGGGTCAAATTATAATTATTATCTAATAATTGAAAGTATCAAAAACAAAGCTTCAAAGGTAGAAAACACATTATTTAACCAAAGCGCTCAGAGGTATATTTTCATCTGAGTCTGAGTTTGAATCTTCAGACCAAGCATCTGATTCAGACTCGATCTCCGCTTCGTCTTCATGGACGGACAAAACAGCATAATCTTTGCCAGTGTCTTCTAAAAGTGCAACTGGTCTAGCATCGTAAATGAATGTCTGTTTTTCGTTTATAACCAAATTAGAATGAATAGCAACCAGCTTCTGAATTTTATCCTGTGATAATCTATTTCTTTTGCTTGCTTGTATGTATGAAGGCCGTGTAAAGACCAGTTTCTTTCTGAAGAGGCGGAAGATGGCGGTCCATTTAAAATTCGGGAGGCAATTGGCATAAGTGGCTGCGATGTACACAAGCCTTGCCACCATATAACGGGATGAGTACTATTCTCACTATCCGATAAAGAATTTCGACTGAAAAATCCAGTTTTTGTTCTAAATTGGGATAGATTTGCCACCACCTTCCATACATCTAGATTTAGTGAACGAGCCATTTCAGAAATGAAGTCTATCGCTTCCATTAGTTGGTCTTCATTCAATTGTTCTCCTTTAAAGTGAGCATCAAGAAGATTGGCTGCAAAGTGAATCGGCTTAGAACAAAATTCGTAGCGTTCTTTAACATATTTTAGCAAGCTTTCGATAAGAGAACTAGTCAGGTCAACTTATAATATCTAATATTGTGTCTTTTATATACTTAAAGACAAAAGGCACTTCTGATAATATAGATCTATCCGATTCTACTAAATTTATCGATGTTGATACAGGATGCAGGATTTGTTTAGTATATTGTAGGTTTTGCCAGAACGCATCATCCAATACAACTTTTTTAATATTTTGTTTTACATTCAGGTTTTCCACAAATACAGTACAGCTTTCTTATTTCTTAAAAGCGAATCAACAGTTATAAACAGAGAACCCCATCTTGTTTTTGCAGGTAATTTGACGGAAATTACTTTATTTTTTGGGTATTTTTCGGCCTGTGTTTCTTTAAATGCAGCATAAAGTATGTGGTGCTGTTTAAAATATTTCATAAAGTCCTTTAGTAGCAAATTCAGAGTGTGAACTGCACAACCAACTCAGGATATATGAGGATATGTTGTATTTATGTTATGCGAAGCAGCTTTCATATTGCTAGCATTGTCAGTCACTTTAAAAAAAAAATTTGTGGCCCTATTTCTTGAATAACTTTGATAAGTTCATTACTTATATGCGTTCCCGTTACTTTTGCAGTACCACGGTGAACAGTTTTGTAAAATAAATGTATAGGCGTGCATATAACAATATTGATAATCCATCTCCGACTATATTTGTCCAACTATCTGTTACTATTGATAAACTATCGGATTCAGAAAGCTTTTGACTTCGGTTTATCTGTACACGTTCATACTCGGAATCTCGGGGCGTAAGGGCTAGGTATTTGGTATGACGGTCTTAACATTTTAAAAACCTGTTCCCAATATTTATTTATGAAAAGAGAAAGGAGCACCAGAAGCATAAAGAGCCCTAGCTAATGCCTCATCAATTTTAGAGGCCTCTGAAACAGCTATCTTATCGAAAAACCCGCTCAATGTTTGTTGGCAGCTAGCTTTCTTACGTTTTACTGATGGTAATGGAGATTCGGAAGATGATGAAATTGATGACGTGTCCTTTTTGATAGTTGAAGTGAGACTGGTATCTTCTAATGCTTCTAGCAGGATATCTTTGTTACTTTTCTTCTGACGTCGAAGACTACGAACTCGATTGTATTTCATTGCCATATTTTTGTTTAATTTCCAAAAGACATTTTGAACTTTGGTTTAATATATGATTCGTCATGCGAGTTGCGTTTGGAAAGGCGTATTTAAAACAGCAAAACTTACACACAGCCTTGGATTTTTTATCTGTTTTTTCAAGATCAAATAATTGCCAATTTTCTGAAGAACGTCGAACCATATTGTCCTGCAACAAGAAAAAAATACATAAATAAAATATCTTGCTGCACTTTATCAACTGATCAAATTCTTGTAATTTAATGGGTATACAGATAATAATTATTATTACTGAACCTTGATATTAGTAATAAAGAAAAAAAAGGAAAATATGCAAGGAATCTGAAATCCCACCTTCAAAACACTTAGAGCTATTCCAAATTTAATAAAATATTCACTTACCAGAAACCAAAACAAACACTTGGTTCAACAACACTAACAATCTTCAGAACAAACACACGGTCATTTGAGTGTGAAGTCCATTTTCCACCCGTATTTAACATCTCTGTAGATTTTTATCTGTGCAGAAGCTCCTCTAACTTCAAAATATAGAAGGTGCTTTCTTATTCAAACATATTTCAATCGTATTTTGCGTCGTAGCTGTTTTTTACAAAAGCTTTCCCGCTTCTTTTTTGCGGTCGTATATCCAATAATCGGATTATTTTCCGGTCCAAGTTCGTCTCGATTGCTTTCCAATGAGTGAACACCCCTCCTCAACTTCGTACAACAGCAGTTTTCCTCTGTTCAATCCACCCTCAAAGTAATCCCATCGAAATGGTTCCGGTGTTTTTTCTATAGGGCTTTCTCAGAAAAACAATGTACACCGTAAACTTCCGACAGTCATTACAGTTTATAATGCAATAAAATCAACGTTAACGGCGAGCCCTTGATGGGCCAAGTTTCGAGTAAAAACTTGTTCAATGCTGCTGACCTGAGCTCATTAGGATTTACTAGGCAACCGGAAAAGTTCGGTAATAATGCTTAAGCTTGCCGCGTGCTCAGAATGTACGAGGTGCCTTGTCGGAACTTTGCATCCGCTGCAAACTAGTGTCTAGAGGGAGATTTAGTGTCGTGAATCGTTTCCTGGGCTGCATCGTTGGAAAAAAATTGAGTTTCAGTAGATTGGTTGAGCACTACTTTTACCTTACAAGGTAGGGTGACCAGTGGGAAAGTTCACTTTTTGTTTTAAGAAATAAATACAAACAATAACTAGAAAATATCTATTACTATCAATATATTCAAATTCAAATTCAAATTCAAAATATTTATTTCGTCATGAATAAACATCATAAACAAAAGAAATTCTGCATACAGAGTAATGACGAAAAAGGACAGTCTCTCGATTATAAAACCGATACATTGGACCCTTTAATACAAAGAGTCCATGCCAGAAAGCCCTGAATACCCTAAAAGTTCTTAAACAAAATAAAAAATACAATAAAGAGGCAAATGAAGAGGCGGGAAACACAAAAAGGCAAAAACGAATAGAGAACCCCCGGAAGCTGGCAACGGACGCGAAAAACAAATCTATACAACCTGTCAGCGAGTAGGAATGTAAAAACGATATTTTTGCTCACACAAACGCTGCTAAAGTAGCTGGTGATTCCGTAACAACGTTTTTGTCAGTTTTGAGAATGTTTTTGACGATGAGCTTTTAACTGAAGTTGGTAAATTATTCCATAAGTGAACCGCCACACAGGCAAACGATTGTCGGAAGGAACGCGTTCTATGTCTAGGTACGATAAAATTGAGATTATTTCTACTTCTCTGGGCACTAGACAAAGACACAAATCTTTCTCTTAAATAGGGCGGTTGACCTGTTTTTATAACCCTATAGATAAAAGAATACATGTGATATTTTCTGCGATTCGTCATGTTTAATATGTTGTAGTTATTCAGATAAGGAGTGATATGGTTTCGATATGGAATTCCAAATGCAAATCTAATGCAACTATTTTGAACTTTTTGTATGCATTTTTTGGTTCGCGACGATAGCGAATCACCATAGACGACATCTCCATAGTCAAAAAGTGATAAAATCAAGGTTATTACACAAATAATATCTTTGTTTGGCTGATAAATGTTTTTTTAATTTGTTTATATTTTTTAGTCGCATGTAAGCTAAATTTGTTCTGTTTTTTATATGACTGCCGAAGCCAAGCGAGCTATCAAATATAATGCCTAGATTTTTTGTCTCCTGAACTATGGGGATTCTGTCGTTGTTAATAGAAATTACTAAAATTTGTTCAAAATGTTCTCTTTCAGTACCGTTTTTATTCATAACCATTACTTGCGATTTTGAGGGGTTTAGTTTAAGATTGTGATGCTTTGCAAATCTGTCAATTCTTTGGAGATCTGAATTTAGTTGTTGTTGTGCAATATGGATTGTGGTTTTATTGACAGGGAGATATATTTATGAGTCATCTGCATATTGTTTTATCTTTGCGATTTTTACCGATTTGACCATGTCAGATATGTAGATTGAAAATAGCAAAGGAGATAAAATTGAACCTTGAGGAACTCCTCTTTTTATAGGTTTAAAATCGGTTTTGTAAATAGCAGAATCATTTGCTAACATAACACAGTTTGAACGGTTGCTTAAGTATGTTTCTATTAGATTTACGGAGTTCAGCGAAAACCCCTGGTAACGTAACTTAGCTAGTAACATTTCATGATTCAGAGTGTCGAACGCTTTACTAAAGTCGAGAAGAACCATGCACGTACTATTTTTTTGTTCTTGATGATGTCTGATATCATCCAAGATATTAACTAATGATGTACTTGTGCTAAAGTTTTTTCTAAAACCGGATTGACTATCTGGTATCATATCGTTTGTGTCACAAAAAAATCTAATTTGATTATAAATATGCCTTTCTAAAATTTTGGATGTAGCGGGTAATATGCTAATAGGCCTCAAGTCTGTAAATTCTTTAGGTTCTGCTATTTTTGGTAAGGGTTTAACAATAGCTTTCTTCCATATTTCTGGAAATAATCCCCCCAAAATACATGTGTTGATTATATTCAGCAAGGCATTCGTACAAAATGGGATACATAACTTTAGGTCTCTTATAGAGAAACCATCCTCTCCAATGGCATTTGATGAGATATTAGTTACAATTTTGATTAGACTGGCCCTGTCTAACAGTTGGAAGCTAAGAGAATCGTTGATGTTTACATTGTTTTTGTAAAAATTGATTAATTCTTGGGAAGTAGTGTCTGGTAAATTGTCGGTCTGCTGGAAGTAATTGTGTATGTCATTTACATTTTGTAAGTGTTCGGGTATAGTTGAGTGAGTTTTCTTGCATGTTATGTTGAGCTTTTTGGTAGTGTCCCAAAATTCCTTACCTTTCTTTGTTGAGAGTAAGTTAAAGAATGTATTTTTTTCTCGGATAATTGCATGCTTTGTATAGTTCCTTAGTTGTTTATAATATTCAAAATGAGCCTGTGATTTTGATTTTTGAAATTTTTTATGAGCTTTATCTCTTAGTCTGATTAAAATTCTTATATTTTGAGTTATACAGGGTACATAAGGTTTTTCGGTTATTTGTTTTGTTTTTATTGGAGCATGTTTATTAAGAACAGTTACTATATTTGTATTAAAGACTTCTATTTTTCGGTCGATTTGGTTTATATAGTAAATATCCTCCCACCCAATTAGAAACCCTTCATTTAAGAAGGATTCTCTATCTATATTATTGTAGTCTCTATATTTAATAGTCTTTTGTGATTTATTTATTTTTGACTTTCGAAAGGCTGAGTAAATTAAGTTATAGAGATAGAGATAAGATCCTCACTAGCACAGATTATATCAATGAGACTAGCCTCTCTTGTGGCAAAATTGAATCTTGTTGGCTCACTGATCCTTTGTGATAAGTTAAAACTATGAATTATATTTTTGAGGCGATTTGTGTATGCAGAATTATTTAAAATGTTAATATTTAGATCTCCTATCAGTAATAAATAATCATATTTGACACTGACAAAACCGAGAAAATTTTCTAAGGAGTCTAAAAAATAAGTGACACTCTCAGAAGGCGAACGATAACTATTAACTAAAAGATAAGTTTTTCCACCTATCTTAAATTGTATACCTATGGTTTCTGCACAGTTAATTTCCACATTTACCCTTGAATATTTCAACCCGCTTTTTATGTATAAAGCTATTCGTAGATACGCCGGGTTTTATTTATTAAATACCATTCCGTCCAGATGTGTGTCATGTTTATCTTTTGGGTTCGTTGGTGCCCAATATCTACAATTTCGCTTGTTCACATAACCGTGAAAATGGGCACCGTCACTAAAATAAATAAAATAAAAATAAATATCTTTATTGCCATTTGACTTGAAAAAGTATCACCAAATTGTCAATGATGAATGAGAAAAAAAATACCTAAAAAGTTGTGATCGAGACAACACTAAGTAAATTAAATAATACAAACATAATGTACTCAAAATAACAACGTAAACAAACAAATTAAAAAGATGTGAATAAATAACAAATAAAAATAGAAGGACGAACAGATTGAAAAACAGATTAAAAATTGATTACAATTCACAAGTCTGATGTTAAGTATTCCTCAATGCTGTAAAAAGTGTTTTCCATAAATAGACTTTTAACTCGGCGTTGGACAGCATTGAAATTGGTGACAGCTCTGATAACAATTGGCAACCTGTTGAACAATTTGATAGGCAATATGTGGGGACCATTTGCTGATAAAGCAAGGCTATGTTGAGGGGTACACAGACAGTATGTATTCCTTAGATTATAACCACTCTCCACATTGCTTCGCGAATCATATTTTTCAAAGTACTTTAGAACATGACAAACACAGTTAAAATATAATATGAGGTGGAGAGTTTTGAATAGTTCCCTACAAGAAATGAGCTTATTACTACAAGTTATTGTACGAATCAGTCTATTCTGCACAAGTAGCAAATCTGGTGTATGTGAGCTGCCACCCCAGCAAACGATACAGTAATTCATGGCTGACTGTACGTGAGCAAAATAGTACATCCTAAGCACGGCAGTACTTACAAACTGACTTAGTCCCCACAACACAAAGCAATGCTTTGATAGTTTGTTGACTAAATAGTCAATATGATCCCTCCAAGTAAGTCTTGAATCGATCATAACACCAAGAAATTCAGTAACCTGGACCTCGTTCACTCTGGTGCCGTTAATTTTCAGGTCAATATCGCAATCTGTATCATAAACTGCATCAGTTGCGTCTAACAACAAAAACAATAGAGGCCCTAGTATGCTTCCTTGCGGAACACCAGTTAAAACAATCTTGGTGCTAGAAGATAATTTACATCTACCCTTATTAATGACAACTCGTTGTTCCCTATCAGATAGATAACTTTCTATCCAATTTAAAGCGGTTCCTCTGACTCCGAAAATATTAAGCGTTTTGGGTAAAAGAGCATGGTTGACAGTATCGATAGCGCAGCTTAAATCTATAAAGAGACAACACGTTTTATATTTCTTTTCAAGGCACGTTAA